AATGTGCCCTGCTGCATGTGGAAGTCCTCAAACTGCCGACATGCAATGATGTACTCCACACCATCCTCCTCGTAACCCGTCTGCGTCAAAATGTACCTCTTGGCTTGCCTTACAAGCCAACGAGGTTAATCCCTCACCTCGCCCGAAAAGTACTCAACATGTCACCTGCGGGGGTTTAGTAAGAACCCCGCGCAGTGAGCAGGCTCCAGCATGTGCTGTGTGCGAGCCTGCACACACCTCATGATGCGGTCAGCGAAAACCCTCCCCAAAGGAGCGCATGCATCAGTGACACGGCGGACAAGATCCTGTGTCCACTCGATCATGAGGGACATGTACTGCCCCCCACGATCCATCCGCCTAAGCAGCTCCATGACGGGCTGCATGATGTGGACTATGGTGGCCATCGTGTGCCACTAAGGCTCCCATCTGATCTGCCGGCGCACCCAACGCGCCATGTCGCACACATCGGCGGACCACGGTATAGAAGCAAACTCCCGCCCCTCATCCCCTCGCATCATCGCCTGCAGAGCGTCCTGCAGGGCCAACAGTCTCTCCAACATAGAATAAACAGACGCGAACCGCGTCTCGCAAGAAAGCACAAGCCCCTTGTTGGAGCTGCGCTTCCTAAAGAAATAAAGAGTGGCCTGGTGGGTTTTGAAAAACACCACCAGAACACGAGCGCGTGTAATCGTGTCCACAAACGCGTCGCAACTCGTCCCCATGTCTGACAACAATTTGTTGCAGACATGGACGGAACACGGAAGCCAAGTGATCCTCCTGATTGCAGGAGGGATGCCCGGCGAGGCCAATGCCCTCGCAGCCCCCACGTACGCCGATGCGGAGTCTGTGCATATCGCATTGACCCGCTGAGGGCCGCCGAAACTGAACTCGTGGAAGATGGTCACCCATCTCCGAAGGACGTGCACTGCATCGTCCGGCTCGCCCTCGCGATTGATCGTCGTGTAGACGACGACCCCTCGCGAGCCGGCGGCAAGGAAATTCACGATCGGTCTCCCGTCTCGTGATTTCCTCCCGTCGGAGAGGAGGGTGGCACCAGTGATCCAGAATGGCTGCCTCACCTGCTCCAACTCCTCCGCCAGCTCCTCACGGTGGGTCTCCACCGACTGCATACTCGCAATCTCGCTATGGCTGGGGAGCACAGCGCGCGGGGAACTGCCAGGCTGCTCAAGAAGGAACTGCTGGTATGCCTTCCAAGCCTGGTTGCGGAAGGCATTGAAGGGGACCCCGCTGGAATAGAGCGAGCGAAGGAATGTCTTCTTGTGGCGAGCAACCCACTCGCCACCGTAGACGTCAGTGACCTTCTGTTGGCGATGCCTCTTCCCAGCTGGGGCGGCGGCCGGATCTGTTCCACCTTCCTTCCTCTTGGAAGAACCCTCCCCTACAGGTCCCTTGGCTGCTCGCCTCAAAAAGTCCTCCATCCTCTCCCCAGTGCCTGGATAAACCTTAGGCACGTCCTCGTGTCCCGGGACTCCCTGCTCGCCCGGGACACGCGCCTCGCGATCGACGTCGATTGCGCCCTCCTCCGTGCCTCCACCTCCACCATCTCCCCCGACCCCTCCTGACGCTCCCTCCACGGGCTGCCGCCCCGCCTCTCCTCCCCTCACACCACCCGTGCCAGGCACATCGACTCCGCGCTCCGCCGCGTACCTGGCAACCCTCTCCATTTGATCGCTCTCGAACTTCTGTTGACTCCGTCGCGCGATCTCGTACGAAGCCTCGTCGCTGACGTCCTTGCAGTAGTTCGTCTGCGTGAAATGCCTCGTCGCCTGGAATTGGCTCCCCTGAAATACTTTGTTGCAAAAAGTGCAACGCAGCATCATGACCCCCTTGTTGTCGACCTTCTGGTCGACAACCAGGTAACAGCACACAGGGGAGCGGCCCCTGAATGTTTCCTGCACATGGTCAGGGGCAGGCTCATGCTGACGCCGCTGTGACCTCCCCATGACGGCCGCCCTCGCCGCCTCGCGAGTCAACAATCGCAACCCCTTCCTCCCCCCCAAACCC